TAAATCACAACTGTATGATGATTGTGCTAATACTCCACATTGTGATTTTTTTCCCCTCTCTCTGAAAGCATGAGATTGTTTTAATGCACCGCTAATGGCATAATGTTGGAATCACTCTTCAGATCTCGCCGCAGAACTTTTAAGTCATTTCCTCTGTGGATCTCCTCCACCCAGTGTCTGCTTGTTATGTAATGCAAGTTGCGTTATGTGCCTTCTTAAGTTAGGACATACTGATCATTTCTACACATACAGTGATTTCATATTATGCTACATTCAGACCAAACCCTACCAGATTTGCCTCACAACCACTTTCAGATGAAACTCATAGTGGATTTGCAGTTCTATCTATCGGGGATATTTTCCAGCTACGTTGTCCTTATTCTTTAATGGACAAGCTGTCTGACAGTTCTAACGCGCTTAACTTGAGCTGATATGTTACAAAAGCATTGCATTGGAATGAAAATAACATCTCGGGCCATTGTGCAGCTCAAACATACCTTGACATCCGTTTAAAGAAATGCAGCGATTAGAACTTACTTTCCCAGTTCCTCAAAAAGCTGGTATTCCTCTGTGAAGCGCGTGCAGGTGATGGTTGCCATCCTGGAGATGTGTGCGTTTCCTGCGTCTGATGAGAGTGTTGTGAGGTGAAGCGTTTGAAGCGTCAGGCAGGAGGGACAGGAGCGCGATCAAACGCCTGGTCTGGAGATCGTTTTCTATATCGGTAAAGTGGAAGTGGAATGAGGAAAAACGGATAGATCTTTCTGTGGCTGCCTGCGACTGGCTGCTGTCCTCCATACACAGCCCCTGTTACCATGGCAGCCGCATCCTCCTCCTCTCCTCACATGCTCACACACATGAAGCCATGCAGACAGTAAAACACACCCACACACTTTCAGTGTGCATCACACTGTTACTTCACAGCAGTCTGCATATACTGTATGAAGAGATGGCCAAAATAGCTATTTTAAATGCTTTCGGATGAAACGAAGCCTAGAGTACTTTTTTATATTTGTATTCAGTCAAAGTCCTTTCATTCAAATGCAAGCATTGCAGCATAGATTTTTACACATTGGGATGGCCTGTTATTGCCTATTGCTATTAGTAGAAATTCCCTTGCATGTGGATTTAATGATGTCTTTCTTTTTCTATATCTATAGAGGAAATAATAGAAAAGAATCAATGGACAATTTACCCAAAGTGGCTGATAGGCCTTACAGGCTCATTAGGGACAGGTTAGGGACCAGGGGCCTCTATGAGAGTCCCGACTGATCTGAGAATAAGGCTGGGTGATAGACAATATATTGAGATCAGATCAAATTTATGTCGATAACGATGATAAGCTCTGGACATTGTTACTCTATGGATTCATCTAACAGCAGACATAAATGCAACAGCCAGTCAGTGCATGTATCTAATAACTCTGCATGTTCTGCGTGTCTCTGTGTAAATGAATGGTATAGTTTTGTCTAATACACAAACTCAAACACACGTGACACTCATGGTGATTCCAGCATCTGCGTCTCAATATATGAGACATGAACATGTAAACTTCCTCTCCAGAGCTACTGTGAGAGTCACTTTACCAGCTTTATACAAAAACTACCATTAAACACACACTGAAACTCACAGATCTTCACCACAAACCGATAAAATTAGAGTTTGGTTTAACTTGAAGAAATTATGAAATATATTACTATTGTACTTCAATACCACGACTGAGGTGCCCTTGAGCAAGGCACCGAACCCCCCCGGGCACCGCAGCAAAAAATGGCTGCCCACTGCTCCGGGTGTGTGTTCATGGTGTGTGTGTGTTCACTGCTGTGTGTGTGCACTTTGGATGAGACAAATGCAGAGCACTAATTCCGAGTATGGGTCACCATACTTGGCCACATGTCACTTCACTTCACTTAAGTTACGATGCTTTTGGGAAACAGACCGTAATATTAAGATCAGTCGTACGATCGTTTACAGGTGGAGGCCACTGACATTTTTTCCCTACTCCTTTTCTGATTGTTTTTCACTAGTTTTGCATTTCAGTGTCACTACTGGTAGCATGAGGCGATACCTGGACCCTACAGAGGTTGCACAGGCAGCCCAACTTCTCCAGGATGACACACCTGAGGGCCCGACGTCCTCTAGTGGGTCCTGTGCTCACTGCCCGGCACCGTGGAGATCGACTGGCATTTGCCATTGAACACCAGAATTGGCAGGTGGCACCCTGTGCTTTTCACAGTTGAGGGCAGGTTCACCCTGAGCACATGTGACAGATGTGAAAGGGTCTGGAGAAGCCGTGGAGAACGTTATGCTGCCTGTAACATCATTCAGCATGACCGGTCTGGTGGTGGGTCAGTGATGGTCTGGGGAGGCATATCCATGGAGGGACGCACAGACCTCTACAGGCTAGACCATGGCACTCTGACTGCCATTGTCAGGATTGGACTGTCTTTGTGTTGTGATGCCCTGGTCCAGATCTCGAAGGAAATACCCCAGGACACCATCCGTCGTCTCATTACAGAGGTTGTCAGGCATGCATACAAGCACATGGGGGCCATACAAACTACTGAGTACCATTTTGAGTTGCTGCAATGAAATTTCAGCGAAATGGACTAGCCTGCTGCATAATTTTTTCACTTTGATTTTCGGGGTGTCTTTGAATTCAGCCCATCTGTAGGTTGATCAGTTTCATTTCCATCAAACAATGTGGCAACTTTTAGTTCCTAATACATTACACAGTCCATATCAGTATAGATATCCAGCAGGATATTTTTCCCCTTTGAGATCTGATGTGTTTTCAAAGTGTTGAGCAATGTAATTACATATATGTGATGTCATTGTGTGATTACATAAACAAACTGGTAAATCAGTTATTGGAACCAGTTCATTGAAATGAACTGTCCGAAAGAGCCAGTTCACGGAAACAAATTGATCTTTCCCATTTGTCTGAGGCTCTGAATTATAGGTAATAATGTTGTAAATAATGTTTAGTTTCTTGCATGGACCGATCGTTTCACTTCACAAGACCATTGCTCTCACTGATAGTTTGATCAGAGATTTCAAGCCAGTAGTTCCCAACCCTGTTCTTGGAACCCCCTCAACACTGCGCATGTTGAATCCTCGCCTCTCTTTGTCTGACACACTCATTTCAGGTCTTGGAAGCTCTACACAGCTGATGACCTGAATCAGTTGATTAGTGAGACATGCGAAATGTGCCCTGTTAAAAAAGGAGATCCGGGAACATTGTTTTGCACCGCTTACAATTAGGGCGCCTTCCACCAAGTATAATAATGAGGGGAAATGTTTTTATGCTCTTTACTACCTTAACTCCACATTGCTCCTCTTCACACATAAGCCCAATGACTGTGTGTTCTTTTCTTTGCTGCTTGTATCACATAAATGCAAATAGAAAAGTTACAGTATTACAGACAAATTAGAACATCAATAGCACTAAGTTCTTAGGTTCAATTTGCATGGAATGCGTGAATGTTTAAAATCTGTACCTTAATGCAGTGCAAGCCACTTTAGATAAAACTGTCCTCCAAATGCATACATGTAAATGATTCTTCTCTTCCAAATGACCCCTTGACAAACACACACACACACACACCTAAATTATTACAAGAAACAAGGATCTCCTTGCCTCTGCTTTTGATATCCACATTCGTCTCATTCTTTTTTTATCCCTTGAAGGGATAGGTTTTATCCCAGTTTCTGGTCAAATGGGATGCCTTTCACATTTCTGACAGTACAGGCTGACATATTAAAATCTGTGATTCTTCCATGGGGAACGGACAGTTACTGAATGAATATAATGTTATATCAAAACTCCGGATGGCAGCAACTGGAATCCAACCAATTTCACAATCTGTACCCACTGTTTTGCAATCCACAGAATTGTAGACCCTCCTCTCAATTATAAAATCTCCGCCTCAGCTGTAGCCCCTCCTCTCAAATTAGAAATCCCTGCCTCCACATAAACTCACATAAACATGTTGAAATTATTCATAGATTAATTATGAATTATTAATTGTTTATTTAAACAAAATGTAGATATGATTTCATTAGTTACATTAGGGCATTATTATTTCTGGTGTTACTTTTATTGACTGTTATTAGTCAGACATTCATTCATTTAGCAGATGCTTTTATCCAAAGACACCTCAAAGTGAAAAATTTCTTCCATTTGCCTGATGAAATAAAAAAAAACACATTTGCCCATATCATCAAACCCCCTGCACTCTCAACAAAACTACAGCTGATGGTCACACTTTTACAAGAAAAAAAGGGAAACAAGGTTAATTTGTTAACTATATGCATCAATTTGACATAAAGTGTCGTTTCCATGACGACCAAGCACTTACAGCCAAGCCGCATCCTAGCAAACGGTCACTGCACTGACATTATAAGTTGCCAGGTTACATCCATTTTATGATTAATGTTTTATTTTGTAGTTCTTCTGCATTTGTACGTTATCTTTGTGTGGATTACATTAGCCATCCACTTTAGAGTAAGACTGTATATAAACTACATTGTTTATTTTCTTATGTTATTGAAGCTTTCACTAAAACTTAATGATGGTGAGAGTTAATAACATTAGTATTTTTTTTTTTTGCACAACAGTTGCTAAACCTCATACTTTCTTTGATGCACAATGGGTTTAAGATTGATTAAATCAACATATTTTATCATGAAGAAGTTTTAGTAATACTATAGCATAGTAATATTATAGATATTTGGAGTGACTCCTTTTTGTTGTTGTTATTATTTGTTAAAATGATCTTTTAGAATATTTTAGCAAATGATTAACTGTATTGTAAATGAATCAGTGGACAGAGATTTCTACATTTAGAAAAGGAGCAACAAATCTATTAATACAGGGTAACTCTTTAGTTTAGGGATCAATTCTCACTATTAACTAGTTGCGTATTACTAGTATATTTATTAGTACTTGTACTAGTACTGTTTATTAAAGCTCATATTAATGGGTTATTCTACATGATCATATTTTAGATCCCTAATACTACCCCATACCTAAACTTAATTTCCGTACTACCTCACTAACTGTTAATAAGCGGCAAATTAGGAGTTTATTGAGGCAAAAGTCATAGTTAATGGTTAGTTAATAGTGAGAACTGGTCACCAAATTAAAGTGTGTGCTAATACAGTTTACAAATCTATCGGTATATATGCAAAAATGAAAAAAGTGTACAAATCTGTGAGTACAGATTGTAAACTGAGAGTAAGCATGAAATGATGAAACTAGGCAAAGATTAATGGATCTCAATAACTCCTATGTGACCCTATGGATCAGTGTAGAAAAGAGAGCAGTTTGGGCATTTTCTTTATTGAACATGAAATGGATGCAATATTTGTCAGGTAAACAGATTTAGAGCTCATGTAGACACTCTGGGGGAGCTGTGCTGACTGAGTCAGACAGCTGCTATTGAATTGCTCTTGCAGTACTTTGATGACGTTACATTTGATATGTTATGTTCAAAAAAAGCTAATTCTGTAAAAGAAAATATCTCCCTTTGCATTGAACTTTGCAGATGTTGTTTATGCTCAAACGGGAACATTACACATTAACTAAAGTTAAAAGAGTGAAATCATAATCAACGACCCCTTTAAGTATCCCTAAGATTTTAAAATAAATATTTTAATAAGTATCACATTTGCGTGTTCACAGTTCTCTGACATTGGTTAATGGTCATATGCACTCTAAAAAATGCTGGGTTGTTTCAACCCAACTTTGGGTCAAATATGGATCTAACCCAACCGTTGGGTTAAATTTTTACATTAAATTTTTAACCCAAAAGTTGGGTTAGTCCATATTTGACCCAAAGTTGGGTTGAAACAACCCAGCATTTTTTAGAGTGTGGCAGCCAGGTAAATATAAAATAACAATTTTTGATTTTGATTGTTATTTTAAATTTTTTTTATTTTAATTTGACATGGTTTATAATTTAATTAATTGTTAGCTTTTCATTAAACTCACAAACCCCCTGCAGTTCCTTTACGAACCCCAGTTTGGGAAACCTTGACATAATGTAATGTTTAATACACTTCATGTTGTTAATTACAATGAATGGAATATATTTTCTTACTCTTTGTATTTTTACATCATTATGGTAGAAGATTATTCTGTTTAAATCAATGTGCTAAACGAGTTAGGACAAAAGCAATCTAAAAGTAATCAAAAGTAGTCTGATTACATTACTTAAAATGTGTAATGTAATGGATTACGTCACTGACTACAATTTTTGTAATGTAATTTGGAATCCGTAACGGATTACAATTTGTAAGTAACCTACTCAGCTCTGAACATACATTACATATATTTGTTTTTCCCAGCATATGACAAATTGCTCTTTGCATGTGCAAGGCAAGACTTCAGAACATGCGAGTTAAAATCTGCTAAGAGGTAATAATGGAACAAAAGTTTTAAAAAGTGATTTTTCACTATTATTTACAACAGGATCTGCATTTTCATGGGTTTAAGTAAAATAATTGTGTTATAAGAGACAATACTTGTGCATCAAAACCTTAAAAATGAACTTGATTTTCAAAAGTCGGTTTGCGACAGCTGAACATTTTTGACATGCCAGTCTCTGAGTAACATGTAATTTATTTACGGCAAGAAATAAACTTCATTCTGTAAAATAAAAGTATAGTGAACAACACAAAAAGCATTTCAAACAACTCCAGCATGTTTTATAATACCCCAAAATCAAGTTCACCCCTCATGCATGTTATCATGTCCATCAGAAACTATAAGCTGACTGTCGGTTGGAATATTAGAACTAAAAACATCGACATAACATACTCACAGGTATCAATCAATTCACTAAATATATACTACAAAAGAAATAAATACTTATTACCTTACAACCTATGTGCATTCAATTCCACATTATTTGACTATCACAACATCAATGTCTGTCAAAAAAATGACATGCACAATACACAGTAGTATTTACGAGAAGTATATGCATTACCTGGAAAACCCACACTACTAGATGACTACTTTTGACCATTTCATCACTTTCTGAGAAGAAGAAAATGACGGCCTGAGCAGCTTCAACATGCTGTCTTGCTGTCTGTCAGAGACCGTAACATACATAATATAATGCATGTGAGTTTAAATTTGTTGTTTACTTGCTGAAATTAATTCGGAATGATCAGGGAACTGAGTGATATACTTTACACTATATGCTAAAGATGATGAACGCCAATCCAGCTGAAAAACGTTGCCAGGTAAACATCATTCAACGTGGTTCCTGACGGAAACAGGAAGTTGTATGTTATATTTTGACAGACATTGTTTTTATACACAAACTATACACATTCTGATTCCGACATTCCTAAATTAAATATTTTCAATAATTTTCTATTCTTTACTTCTCATAATTTTGGCAATAGATGAACTGTTAAATGAATGTTCTTGAGATGAGTCCCTGTATGACTCTCACATGCTGATGTAATATATATATATTACTGAACTTGAAATGTGATTTTTATCAAATGTAGTTTGATCTTCTCAGTTGTTTAAAAGATTAATGCAATTATCAGTTTGATAAAATGTTGATAAAACTTGACTCATACCTTTTCTTTTCATTATCCAAAAAAAAGACACATTTTTACATTTGTTACATTTAATTACACCTTAGCAGGTTTTGACTCAATAACATATGGCACATTTATTTGTGCACTGAATTACACATATTTTTGAATTTTCAGACTGTACTGTTGTGAGTAAAACCGTGCATTCATCTGGTGCGTAGATTGTGAATTAAGCATGTGTGGAGTCGTTGCATGTATTTTTGGCGCATTTATGGATCTGTTGTGTGCATATGTGGGATGATCATAATTTCTGACTAGACATCATTATCAGAGAGTGTTTACAAGAAAACCTGGATCATTTCATGTGCATGCATACATGCAGCTTCATCCATATCAAAGTTTCTGTTATAGGATCTGTACAGAAATGTCGCTGCACCTCATTCTGTCTGCACTGCAGTGAGGACACACTGTCACAGAGACACATTCGGCTGCATGCATCATGGCCATTCATGAAAGTCAACCTTGTGCAACCACTGACACAGACGATTCATACCACATTTATGTGCCGAACTTGCCTAGCTTTTTCAGGGTATAGTGCATAATAAATAGAAATTCTCTTCACTGACCTAAAAAAAAAATCAAGGATTCTTGGCCTTCAAAATTGGTATCCATAAGGACCCCAAGCAATCTTTAGCGCCTGATTGCTTCCTACACAATCGCTGTAGGAAATATGTTTGAAATACATTATAAATAATGACAATAAATCTCTGTTTTAGTTAGCTTATGTTCTAGCATAGCATACAGACCTGATTGGTCTGATAGCTTAGTTTATGTACTGCATATTTGGACATCTTTAAGGTAACTATGTCAGATCAGATATTTCAGTTATTTATCATTTGATTGTTATTATTTATTAACAGTTTATTAAGTGTCCGTTTTTTATTATGCACTTTATTAAGCAATTATATACATATTTTAAATTAATGCCATTTGTATGATTAATTTATACCTGATTTCTCACAAAACTGTGCTGCCTTGAAATGTACTCTTCAGACTCAGTAATAAATATATAAGTAACTAGTAGAGATAACATTTTAGTATGCTATACTTTATGAAAACATAAGCATTTTGTTTTCAAAGCACAGATTTGAAACGATCCTTGCTGTGGGTGCTGTAGACATGGTTGTGCTGGTGTCAAATTTTAACTTAGCCTCTTAGTATCCTGTGGTTCCCTCTAGTGGATAACATTAAAATAATTACATTTATAACCATACCTCCAATTTTGGGACCTCTGTGATTTACGGTCTCTGGTGCCCAGATGCTCTTAAGACAAGTGGCAATTATCAGGGTCCAAACACAAGTAGCACCAACAGCAATAGGTGACATAATTGTCTTTATTTTTCAAATATGTTTTACTCCCAAGTTAACCATCTTGAAGCTATATTTCAAGTTTAATGAAGCTTACTAAATTACATGCTCATTCCAAAAGGAAATCGCTCACCCTCATGATGTTCCAAACCTGTCTGAATTTCTTTCTGTTGAGTTAAGAAGATATTTTGAAGAATGCTGATAACCAAACAGTTGCTGGTAGCCATTGACCTTTTTTTTCCCTATACTGTGGATGTCAATGGCTACCAGCAACTGTAAGATTCAACAATTTGGACACAGAGATGCTTTGAGATACCTGTACCTATGGGATTGAACCATATATGGCATTGACTGAAAATGAAGATTACAAAAGAAAAGTTTGGTAAGAACCAGAATACAAAATTATATTAAGTTAATAATAATTCTTATGTTACAGGCACTAAAACATAAAATCTTTTTTTTTCAAGCATATTTCATCATCCTTTTCTAGTTTTAACATCCGTTTGTTTTTCAGACATATCTCTTTAAAAGAAAAAAGTGTATTATGCCTGCTCGGTAAATAAACATCAATGGCATTTAACTTTTTTTTTCACTATTTATGTTTGTCTTGAACAAAATCAAAAATCTGAGCTGCTGGGAAGTTTCTGGAATTTGTTTGATTTAACATGGAATGACGGTGAATCATGGTGGGAGAATAGTGATAGGCCCTATCTATTTAAAATATATATATATATATTGATACAATATAGTTAATATAAATATGAAAAATAATACTTCTTTAGAAATTTGTGAATTATATTTGCTCAAGAATGTTTTTAGTTTTAGCATTTTGAGTTTGTTCAATACTCTTGAGTATTAATGCATTTTTTTGCATCAATATAGCAAAACAAACTTTTAATCCAATTTTTTGCAGCGCAATCTGCAATCTCCGACTCTCGCTTTGAGTTTGTTCAATACTCTGTTTGAGTATGAATGCAATTTTTTGTTTGCATCAATATAGCAAAACAAACTTTTAATCCAATTTTTTGCAGCGCAATCTGCAATCTCCGACTCTCGCTCGTTCCCCCCCTCTCTGTGTGTGCGTGTGTGTGTGCGTGTGCGAGTGATGTGTGGGTTTTTGTGCATCAATTAAAGCAGCGCTTTAATATGGAACGGTGATTAAACTGACTTGGAACTACCTGTGCATTACACGGTTTTACTGCATAGCTGCCAGCCAATCAGAATCCAGTATTCAAACTACCCATGGAATAATTGGATTTAACATACAGTAAAGGTCTTTGCAAACTGAGTCCGAAATTTTCGCACGTTAAAAAATAAATACGACCTCACGTTGTGTCAATCACGTTTAAACACCGTCTCCGAAACTTTCGTCCATCATAAAAAATTAAGATAAGGTTCTAATTTCTGCATTTTCGCATCCATAGCAAGCATTTTGATAAGAAAGGATGACGAATACGAAAAAAAAAAAATACGAAAAAAAAAATTTTTCGGACCTTAACTGGTTAACTTAACTGGCCAATGCAAGTCAAGCATCAGTTTCAGCATTACCTTTCCGACATGTTCCTCATTGGTTGAGCCTCATAAGGTGATGTGGAAAGTTCACATAACACTTAGTTTCGTTCCTGAATGAATCAGTATTTTGAGTAAATTGGTTGAATTAATCACTAATTGACTACTGGCATAACAATGTAACAATTCAATGTAAGTGACTGGACTGACCGCGAGAACGCGTAGAGACAAACGGAGTGATACAAACTGTTAAAAGTCCCAGTGCTCATATTGGTGGAATACAATCATTCCTAACAGGCCTCTCAGCCAATCAGATAAGAGGACGGGAACTGTGAATCTCCATGTAATTTATTCAATATTCTTTCTTTTTAATAAATATTTTCTTTCTGTTACGGTTTAATCTTAATGTTGTGTTCTGTGTTGTCTTCACATAGCTAAGAGATAAGATGATGATAATGGATGTCTCTATTTCAAAGTTTTAAATGTCTCAGGACAATCTTGTGAAGCATTACCAATGCATTTATCTGGTAGGCCTATATTAGCTAACACTTGTTGAATTTGTGCTGGTCAGACAAAGTTAGACTGCAGCATTAAAAACGATGCAACAAAAATGAAGTGATTCAATAAAAACTCAGTTCTAGCATCATTTTATCCACTAACTTCTCTTCGTTTGCCTGCAGCCCTTTGGGCTGACAGAGTTAAAGGGTTAGTTCACCCAAAAATGAAAACAGGCCATAAATTACTCACCCTCAAGGCATCCTAGGTGTATATGACTTTCTTCTTTCAGACGAATCCAGTCGGAGTTATATTAAAAATTGTCTTTGATCTTTCAAGCTGTTTAATGGAACTCAGCGGGTGTTGCAGTGCTTCAGTCCAAAAGAAGTGAAATAAAAAGCGCCCCTCCATTAAAAAAAGTGCCTCACACGGCTCCGGGGGGTGAACAAAGGCCTCCTGTAGCGAATCAATGTGTTTTTGTAAGAAAAATAAAATAACCATATTTAAAACGTAATAATCACTTTAATCTAGCTTGCGCTCACTGTTGTAAACAGAAGCAGTTCCCGGTGGATGACGTATGAGCTGAGTGCCATTAAACAGCTTGAAAGATCAAAGACAATTTTTTATATAACTCCGACTGGATTCGTCTGAAAGAAGAAAGTCATATATACCTAGGATGACTTGAGGGTGAGCAATTTATGGACTAATTTTCATTTTTGGGTGAACTAACCCTTTTAAGTGTTTCGTAATACACTGCAAAAAATGGCTTATCTTACTTAGTCTTGTTTCTAGTCAAAATATCAAAAAATTCTTTAAATATCATAAAACACGTTATATGTTTGACCACCGCGGGGAGCCGTTCCCAAACTTTACTAGTACCTTCAAATCATGTCGCAAGTGATGAATTATGCATATCAGGTTTCCTCTGGATATTGCTGTCCTCAAACTGCTCAGGTAGCCTACCTCAGGGAACGATGGTGATGACAAAAACTGGTGATAATACAAATATATCGATTCGCTACACGAAAACAGTTGCTATTGAAAAAACAACAGAGAAAAAGTAAAGAAAAAAGGTGTCTATGCACTAAAAACTAAAAAGGTCTCTGCCTCAAATAAGAAGACATCAAATAGTGGCCCTTCAGTGCTAAGCCACTAATAGATTAATTAAAATGTTATTATATAGTTCCCATCCACCTGCACTATAGCTTTGAAATGTGCGTTAAGTATGTGACATTTGCGGTCTTTTTTTGGCCACATGACTTTTGGCTTTTTGCGGTTCAGAGTTCAGTTCAACAAGCTTTATGTCTTGTGTTCAACGGAAATCTACAATTACACTTTGGTTTTTGCATGCAAAATTACTGAACCATTCCTCTTTCAGTGCTGTGTGGTATTTCATTTCATCCCAGAGATCAGTCTTAGATCCTCAAATGGTCAAATGTGTTATTGACGAAACTACCTGATTGTGTTTACGCTCCCACTCTCCCATACAGAATGAAATGAAGTTAATTAGGCTACCTAAAAGTAGAACTGGTTGTAATTGCGTATTAGTGCATTAATAAGCATGCATGAGCATGAGAACAACAGGACATCCCACTTCGCGAGCGAACGACTCTCTCTTTTAAGAAATGCTTAATTGTATTTATTCGTGCATCGCTGTTCCACATCTGATGACATCATCTGATCGTGATAATTCATCTCTGGCTCCAAAATACAGAAGGATAAGAAGACATAGCCTAATAAACATGTAGGCCTAGCTGTTTGTTTTAGGATTCACAAATCTTTTATTTGTAGTATTTTTTACAGTCTTTAGATTTTTATGTTATCGACAAGAGATTGTAATGTAACGAGTAATTTGTTTAGATTTACCTGCATCGTAAGGTCATATAGTACATTAAAGCCCCTTCCATTGCTTGGAAAAAGCGAAAATCAATTAAATTTAGTAAGGATCAGGAACACTTTTCTAATGGCGCATCACAGAACTCTTTACGTTGTTCTTTGTATCTCCAGTGCTGTATGAAGCAAATTAATGACTAATTGAACAGCTACTCTAATGTGAGAATAAGTAGCAACCCTCTACAATGCGAGTAAATCACTCGCAAATGCGACTAAATCTTCACTCTGGGCGTGTGTGTGGTATGACATAGGTATTACAAGGAGAAGGTGACTTTTCAGTGTGTGTGTTCAGTTGTTGGATGAATATGATTATTGTTTGTATCTTCAGTGTTTTTGGTTTTGTTTTGTTTTTCCTATGAGAAGCCAAAGGAGAATTTTTACATTGCTGGATAATAAAGTTAAATCAATCAATCAATCAATCAATATAATACAATTATTATTTAAAAAAATATTATTATTATTTAGAATTTCATTACATTTTCATTGAATTGGCTGACTATTTTTATAGACAATATTAATTTATACACCATAATACTATATTAAAATAATGATAATAACAATAATTTAAATAATAATAATAATTATTATTATTATTAATATCCCAGCAGCTGACTTACAGAAATCTGCTTTAAAAAGCTGTAGTCTGCTCTCATTCAGATTTAAATGTACAGACCTGGATTGTTGCTATGACAACAGCTCTGAGATTAGTTTTGAAGGAGGAAGGATTGAGTCTAAATCAAATGAAATCTAGATAATGCAGTAATTCATGTACGAAGAATGGGGCCCAGGTCTTGGATGTTCAGCTTGTTGACATTTGAACTTTGACACAGGAAACATTAGTCAATTTAAAATACTGCACCTGAAGATGAATATAGAGCAGTTATTGTCTTTTCTTAGGCTATATGGCATGACCTGCAACCCTTTAACTACATTTCTAATTTGAGTTTGTTCTATTGCAGTTGCTACTATTTTTTTAAACGTGAAAAAAAAAACTTTACACTAGTCCTGTGTAAATTATGCTCAGAATGACAGTTGAAATCATACTGCTATTTTATTGATGCTAAAGTTTACTGAGCATTCTGTGTGGGTTAATCATTCACACTTCACATCTCAGGAGCTGAGGTTTGTTTCTTGCACGTCTATCTTGGATTGCCAAACATGAACTTTTCAATACATTGTCATGTTGAAATGCTCTAAATTATCAACAAAGGCAAAGGTTGATTATGAAGGTGAAGGATGAGGCCTTCAAAGTGAACCAAGAAAATGAACTCACACTATCAAAAATCTGGTATTTGATATCAAGATATGCCACAATGATGCAATTTAATAATGTATTTCATGCTCCCTCTGAGCCGTTCTTCACTGCTGGCAGCTATTTTGCAAGAACAATGGCCCGATTTATTGCATTTCCATTTGTTAAAAAAAAATATTTCTCAAAAATAGTTTTTTCCAACAAATTGTTGTTCATCTTAAAAATATTATATATATATATATATATATATATATAAACATAACTGTTACCATTAAAATGAACCCTGTTACACATGTTTGTATATGTTTTTGTTTGATAATAATAAGAATTGGTAAAAGCATAGCCAGCACAGGTATTTCGTTGAGTATGTGAGTAAATTCCGCTGGGTTCAATGAAAAGGTGTCATAGGCACTTAACCATATCTGCTATTTATAGAGAGTCACTAGAATCATTGCTTTACAGCTCCGGTGTTTATGTAGAATTATTCTCGCCATTATAGAGATTATTAGTGGGTATAACTATTGTAATTGGACGTTTATGATACAATAGCCTCGTAAACAACCAGCTGTATAAGTAATAGATAGACTAGACGGGTAATGAGTTTGTTTAGTGTTTTAAATGAAGATAGACAATTGGATAAACCCTGTTTTACACTATTTGCCCTAATTAAAAATCTATCGATTTTTTTTTTTTTTTTTTTTTTAAATAGCAGACTTAAAAAAGTAGTTTTAAGATTGGGGGGAAATTTTTTTCTTCAACCTTAAATCAGGACTGCAAGAAAATCACTAGTAATCAGTAATACTTTGTTAACCAATTTTCTCTGACGGCACAGGGTTCTTCTTCTGAATCTGAATCATTTAGACACAATCAGCTTTAAATGCATCAAGAAATTGTAACTAATATTTGGGCTTCCTAATAAAAAGTTCTCTTTGTACTTCATATAGAATTACATATGAAGAGCATTACCAACATGTTTTTGTTACTGTGGTGAGAATATTTTTACAACATGCCCCCCCAATAAACTTTATGGCCTCAGAGGCAGCTATCGGCAAGCTTGTTTATACAATTCTCCTCTTACCAGAAATAGAGCAATGATAAAGAAAAATGGAACAATACAATGTAACAAGACAGAGCTAAAGAATCATTAAAGCCTCTTTATTAGAACACATTAAAATGCTTTTGTAGAAACATGGTATGCCACTATGTTTGTCTCATCGGCCTATTCATAATCGAGAGATTACATTTTCACTTATGAGAACTCCTAGTATACTGGTTTTGTAACTTGAACCATTTAAAGTCATCAATATGTCAGTATAATTTAGGATTAGACAACAAAAGTTCATGATTTGGTGTTATCACAGTATTGAATGAATATTTTGATATTAAAAATGTAATAAAAGTTGTTGTGTATATGTACATACATACATGATATACAGTAGTCAACATTTGAAGTGGATCAAAACCTTTCATCAAAGTTGTCATAAAACCTAAACAATACCCGTTCTTATCTTAGGACAACTTTGATGAGCTTTTTTGATCCACTTCAAATGTTGACTACTGCACACTGCAAAACCGAATTATTCTGCTCCTATAAGCATTAACACATGAATTATATAGCTAAAATGTGCCAACGTTTTAAGATATAGCAATTCAATCTGTGTCTAACAGAATATCATTTCTATTTCTGCAGCATGAACATGTGGTGGCCATAAAGAGCTAAAGATATCCATCACAATATCTTCTCTAACCTAAATATACAGTTCACAGAGATGAAGATGAAGGTTCAGTATGGACATATGGACACTCTCTGCAAATGGACATGTATGCAGGCAGATGCATATTGTTTGCTCAACAGTCCCTTTCGCCTCGGCCTTTGGACGCCACACCCTGGCTTTGTTAACGCGGTCATAAAACAGGTCCTGTTGCGGCGACGCCGTAGAGGAGATATGTTCTGCCCGTCAAGCTGAGCTTCTCTGTCACACCATTGATAAGAGAGTCCAGAGTGTGCTTGATAATGAAATAGCTCACAGCTTCTCAGCGTGCACTCGTCTCTTATCCAGCGATGCCGTTACACTGTGCAAACAGCACCAGCTCCTGCTCGAGTGCCGTCTATTCACTCGCACGCTAGCAGGTCTTCTCCATTTTGATGAAGTGCAGATAAAACACATCAGACATTTCCCTCCAAGTTTCCCTCAAGTGAATATGAAAGCACCTTCAATAAAACTGACCAATCAATGCTGGACACAAACAGCTCTGTTTCTGATATCTGTGGGAAGACACGAGTTAACAGATAGGAAAATGGATGGAAATGCTGCTTTCCTCGGCAAGTCTGAAATGAATCACTTTGCCACAATAAAACATATATTTTATTAATACAAATTACTTTAGAAATATACAGTTATTTGAATTCACTTTTACAATCTCAAAACATATTAAAGTTTACAGTGATGAGCAAAACAACAGCAGTAATAAAGTACTAGAATAAAGAAACCGACATGACCAGAGTAATATTACACAACCTTTCAGATTCATGTGTAGGCTACTTCAAATGTTGCTGCATTACTTTTCAATGGTTCTTGACTACTTTTTATTCAGTCTTTGTCACGGTTGTCACATTCGTGTTGTGTTTTCATTGATGGGTTGATTTGAAAGTACTCTGTGTGTAAAAGTGTGAAAGGGCTCTTTATAAAAACGATCTTCAGTACTCTTCTTTGATAGTCATTGGCATAGATGGCGATACCAGGCCACTGCTGCTGCTTGTGACCATGGGAACATTGCCTTGCAGAGCTGAACCAGGTGGGGTTGGTGTGGTTGTGGATGCCGGCTGCGGCTGTTGCATCTTCTTTTTATTGACTTTCCTCTCTTTAGCACGCCGGTTCTGGAACCAGATCTTCACCTGCCAACAACATGCCATAAGTTGTGCTGAAAAAACGTTGTTCCTGGTAAAAGTTGCGTTTTATGTTTCATCTATGCTGCATTACACAGCAGTGATCCCAATCAGCTTCTACACGCTTAAAAATAAATGTTCCCAATGGGAGGGTTTCACAGCGATGCCATAGAAGAAACATTTTTGGTTCTCAAAAGAAACTTTCAGGTAACAGTTCTTAAAATAAACTTTTTTTTTTTGTGGCATAAAAATGTACAGAAAGACATTTTATTGGCATCTATGATTCTGAGAAGAACCTTTAACATCCATGGCAGCTTTTACATTCCACAAAAATTTCTTTATAATGCAAAAGGTTCTTAAAGGGATAGTTCACCCAAAAATGAAAATTAGCCAATTATTTACTCACCCTCAAGGCATCCTAGGTGTATATGACTTTCTTCTTTCAGACGAATCCAATCGGAGTTCTATTAAAAACTGTCTTTGCTCTTCCATGCTGTTTAATGCCAGTCAGCAGGTGTTGCATTGCTTCAGTCCAAAAGAAGTGAAATAAAGCGCACCCATCCATAATAAAAAGTGTCTCACACGGCTCCGGGGCAGTGAACAAAGGCCTCCTGTAGCGAATCAATGCATTTTTGTAAGAAAAATATCCATATTCAAAACGTAATAATCACTTTAATCTAGCTTGCGACAACAGTTGTACACAGAAGCAGCTCCGCATTTGCGCATGCGCCGGTGAGTCTCGTGAAAACCAATGTTTGTTAACAGGAGCAAAGGAAGCAAAGTTTCCTTACTTTAGGTGAACTATCCCTTTAAGATTATTAAAATGTTCTTCACATTCAAGAAGAAAATGCTTCTTTTAAGAATTTTTCACTGAAAGGTTCTTTAGAGAACTTTTGGGGTTTTTGAAACCTTTTGAAACCTTTATTTTTAAAAGTGTACCATGGATATATTAAAGGCTCAGGGAACTAAAGATGCCAATAAAGAACCTTTTTACAGTATGAAGAACCATTTGTACATTAAAAAGGTTCCATGGATGTTAAAGGTTCTTCATGGAACAATAAATTCCAAAAGAGTGCATGAAGAACCTTTAACATCCATGGAACCTTTCCATTCAACATAGGATTCTTTATAGTGGAAAAAGGTTCTTTAGATTTTTAAAGGTCCCCAACACTCTATGTGTTGATGTCATATTAACTGAAACAGGAAGACAGGGCGGGACATATCAAGCAGCCCCGCCCCTTTTTAA